AAAATCAACAAATACACTGTTTTCTGAAACAAATCATTCCCACATTTGGGTTTATAGATGAAATCTTCTAATGCAGCACAATTTCCCAAACTTGAAAATATGAACGCTTGTGATCAGAACATTCTTGGTCGGTTAAGGGAGATGCCCTGGTTCTTCAAACTCAGCATATCCACACATTCAATGCCAGTGGTAAACACAGAGATCCCACATCGTAACCATTACTGTGACAATCAAAAACACCTTCAGACCATTGACAAACTAGGGAGCCATGTGGCCCTAGTTGAGAACCGCTTATATAATAAAGCTTGATCCCTCTATACCAGGAAACATCAACTGTGCTGGAGCGCTCTCCTGCACTGGAGAGAGTACCCACAGCCTCCTCTGAGGGTCCTGCTCCGCTATCCTCAAGGGATCAGGAAATCTTCCAGTATAGAAACTGTCAACATACATGTATTTGGAAGAATGTCCACAAAAGAATTCCAAGTCTTAAAGAAGCTAACAGGGAGATAAATGGTGTAAATAGGAAACTGACCACGAACTGAAACGGTTTCAGTTGAGCCGAACACACCAAGGAGGGAAGGGAGCCAATGACATAGAGCAGTCTGACTTAAAACGTTTTTACAGTGGAGCACAGAAATTTATCTTCACAGGAGAGCATTAGGAAAAAAGGTTGACTCCTAACAGGCTCATTTTCTTGAGGGGAGAGATTGTGTGTGTGTGTGTGTGTGTGTGTGTGTGTGTGTGTGTGTTCAAATGTGGCACTTTAGTACAGCACTAGACACAGTAAGTGTCATTAAATGAGCCATCACTACCTATCTTGCTGTTGCTCATTTCATTTCTGTATTATTTAATTAATTAGATATTTAGGGCTTTTAATATTTCAATGTGTAATATTTTAAAGTTAAAATCCACCCCTTCATCAGCCTATAAAAAGTTTCTATCCATCCTGGAAGGTGAGCCCCTAGAGCCCTCCCTGGAGGCCCCGCACCCCCCCACGTGAAGAACTCATTTCCCTTCATTGACGTTTCCACATCACTTAGTGCAAACTTACATCATAGTTCTTAGCACATTGTATTATTGTTATTAAAGTCTGTGTGCGGCAGGCTCTCCACATCCCATGGCCCCCAGGCTATGAGCTTTGGAGATCTTATTTACTCTGCCTTAGGTCCTCGGTGCTTGCTCAACAAAAGCGTGCGTGTGGCGTTCAGCTGCATGATCTGGAAAATTTTAATAGTGTGGAAACCTCATTTCTCAATAATGTCAATATATGAGGTGTGACTGAAGAGCAGTGCATTCTAGATGGAATTTGGAGCTGTTGGTTTTATATAAAACGATTAAAATAAATGAAATGATAGAAAAATGTGTTACCTCTTGAGCAGGAAAAATAAAGACTTGGATACCTATCAGAACACGTCTTTAAATTGCATACATTTGAATATGTATAAGCGTAAATCATGGATGTAACAGACAGTAGGAATGAAATATATAACGTGAAGAGTTGTACATTACATAGAATAAACAAGGGGGAATGCAGATGATATAATGGCTCTGTCCACTTTTCAGTGTGACTGCATTACACTGATGGAGGATTCACAGACTAGCTAGTCTCGAATGTGAAACATATTCAAAACATCCATCTCAAGTATAGCAAGGATCCACCTTAGGGACAGTGAGCTACCATATAAGATAATGCATACATAATCTTAGAAGCATGGAACTAAAAAGCGCAGTCTGTGAGGATTTCAATTACTTCTGAGTTTTACTAAAAATACTACATTAAAAACCTTAAAAGTTTGATGACAGAAGCATTGAGAGATGACATATATTTTGAAAACATGAGATATTATTTTCTCTTCCTATCTCTATTTTAATTCTTTAAGGAACAGTGTGTGTGTGTGTGTGTGTGTGTGTGTGTGTGTGTGTGTGTGTGTGCAACAGCAGTAAATTATTTCAAAGATTATTTGAATTTTAAAATTACTTTTTTGTATTGTAATTCTTTCTGTTTTAATTGTGATTGTATAATGTGGAAATGAGGAATTTTTCACTTAGTTCACTCACAGAATTAAGGTCAAATTAGTATGAAAGAATTAAATAGAATTCATAAAGAGAATTGACTATTAGTTTTCACTGGGGAAAGTTTCCTTCTATAGCTTGAGAAATACAAGAGAAACTTATTTAAATCCTGATATTTTGATGTTGGTCCTTCTTGCTGAGGAGTGGTTGGGAATTCTACTTAGAATGTAGGTAATAAGCAGTTGTTTCTATCCCTCTCATTCTCTCTCTTCATGTATGTGTGCAAAAATATCCTGAACAAAAAGAGCAATTGACTTGTACTGGTCAGCTTTTCATGACTACAATGAAGTACTTAAAATAATCGACATATAAATAGAAGAGAGCTGTTTGTGGACATGTAATTTTATCAATTCCAGTCAGTCCTAATCAAATGGCCTAATAAATACCTTTGGAGCCTTGTCTGAAGATCCTACACCATGGTAGGATCCTGTGGATGAACCAACTACTCATCAGTCATGAGTCAGTGCTTAAACAAACACAGGTAAAGGTCCCACATTCTCTGTAAGGCCATACCCCCAGTAGAATAAGGGTATCTTGTAAAGCCCCATCACCTCTTAAAGGCCTAGGGCACCTCTAAACGGTTCCTTCCTGAAGGTCACACTTTTAACATATGGGTCTTTAAGGGGCCTTCAACCTCAAAACTATATCGGGACCTGATTAAAAGTTGTCTTTTTATTTTGGTCAAAAAGAAATTCTATATTTAGAATCAATCAAAATATTCCCAATGACTCAGACAGGGTATATCAAGGATTCTTTTGAAAAAGACTTGAGATACTAAATAACCAAGTACAAGTTAATGTCTATTTAAATACACATGGTCCCTCATCATAAATAATATCAATGTCAAAATATTAATTCAGATCAAGCAAGTTATAAGTGCTGTGGATATAAATAAATGCTTGCAGTACTCTTCCTTCCATTGTAGAAAAAAAGTTATAAGTAAAACAAAATTATAATTGTAGAAATATTAAGTAATGTTCAAAATACTGTTTTCAAATTTCACCTAAGGTTAAAAGATACTACCATTACCTAATACAAAACAGACATTTTACAGGACTCATTACATATGAAGGCCCTTTACCTTAATTTTGTAACTAGAACCAGTGGTTAGACATTGTGGGCCACATCTGAAATCCCATCACTTGATAGTAAGTTCTAAGCTAGCCTGAACTATACACAAGACATTATCTCAAAAAGAACAACAACAAAAATAAATCAATGATCAAAAAAGCACTATAGCCGGGCGTTGGTGGCGCATGTCTTTAATCCCAGCACTTGGGAGGCAGAGGCAGGCGGATCTCTGTGAGTTCGAGGCCAGCCTGGTCTCCAGAGCGAGTCCAGGATAGGCTCCAAAGCTACACAGAGAAAACCTGTCTCAAAAAACCAAAAATTAATTAATTAAATTAATTATATAATTATATAAATTATAATATATATAAATTATATAATTATATAAATTAATACTATAAGCACTATAGTAAGATTTTTAAAAAATTACATTTTACCCATGGCAACAATTTCAAAGGTTAAGAAAATGACAAGGATCTTTCTGATTTCTTATTAGTTCTCTTAAAAATAACAGGGCATATAGAGTAATATTTATTAAAATGATCCTCCTTAATTAATATTCCCTGGAATATTAATAAGTGCTACACCTCCAAAATTTGATAAATAAATAATTTTTAAAAAAACAGCTAATAGCAAACTAATAGCCTTTTTAACCATGAGCCTGCCTAAGACTTCGTGTTTTGTGTTTTGAGCCTTCTCCAGGTTGTGTAACAGAGGTATTTGACCTCAGCTTTTTATCTTCAATGAGTATTGAGAGAGACTAATGGAATGTTTTTGAGAAACTATTGCAATGGAACGTCAAGAAAAACCTAAATATTAGGAACTATAAAGAGTTATCAAGGTAAAAAGAACAAGACACTGACCTTTCAGTATTTGCCTCACCAAAGGACATAGCAATTCACCCTAAGAAATGTTTGATCTCATGAGCAGAAGATACTGGCAGATGAAGAGCATCTTGCTATAACATGTCAGTTGTCCAACAAAGATAGCTAACTAATCACTGCTTCATTAAAGGTGTTTCCCAAATGATTTCTGTGTTAGATTGAAGGTCAGAAAACATACCTAAGGTCCCTCTATAATTCATACTTGATGGTTCATTTGCATTAACCCATTATCAATGACATTTTCATGTATTAAATGTTTCAGTCTATCAGCTGTTTTCATACAGTTCTCAAATACCTTTAGACAGGCTGTATACTGGTTGTCAGATTCTAATATAAGCAGAACCATCTTTATTCAAAATACACATAACTAACCGCATAATATCCCACCCCTTACCTAACAAACCAGTCCTTCTCTGAATACAAGAATACTATATTATTTAAATAATTTATATGAATTTTATGTAAATAAAATAAAATACATATTTTCTGAAGTGAAAGGCAAATTTACAAAATGAAATAAAACCCATGAAAGAACATAGAGAGAGGTGTGATACTGTTTGGTACACAGATTGGTCAATTGTAGAATTTTTAATAATTATTCATTTTTATTTTTTAAGACTTATTTTCAAATTTTACTCATGCATATATGTGTGTAGGTCTGCATGTTTGTATGCATGAGTGTCTCAGGTGCCCAAGGAGGCCAGAAGAGAGGTTCAGATACCTGAGAGCTGGCGTTAAAGGTGGTTGTGGGCTGCCTGATATAGATGCTGGGAACCAAATTCTGGTCCTCAGCAAGACTGAGAGCTCTTAAATGCGAGCCATCTCACCAGCTCCTCATTCTTACTTTTCAGTGGGCCACTACCTGGCACAGAGTCTCCCTTCGCCCAAGCAAATAGACTGCAAATCATATAGGTCGCTGATGACTTTTAAACTAAAATTCAGTCTTTGCTAGTATAATTAATATAAAGTCGATACCTATTTGTGTATTCCTTGATGATCTGATATATGCTAATCTTAATTGTCTCATTTTCAAATCGTTGGTGGCTCTTGTCCTTATATATCCGGAATTCAGCTGCTGTCACTGCTTCTCCGTGTGGAATCTGAGTCAGATCAAATCGAAATTCTTTGTAATGCCTCCTCTGATGAGAAAAGTCCTTGTCTCTTTCAACTGAAAAAGAAAGGTAAAGGAATGAAGAAAGGAAAATGTTAGCTCTTTATAAAATATGAAAACTAATGATAAATTCTCCACCTTTTAAAATGAAAACAAACAGGATAGTATAAAACTGTGAAAACATTAAAACCACAGACTCATATGTGTTTCCAGCTAAAGGAAATTCCACAAACCAATAGCCTCTTAGTTCAAATGCAATATAACTGTCTGGGTTTTTTTTTTTTTACAAATTCCTGGATCCTAAATGGAAAGACTATCCAAAAATGTTTTTAAAAATGAAGGTTGTAAAGTGATTGCCAAGATGCATCAAGCACCAGAACACAGGTTTCATACAGGAATTTAAAAGATGTTACAGAAGCCTGCAGAGTTCCAAGTGAAGTCAGTGGTGACATTTAACCTAACCACAGAGGAAAGAGGGGAGTAGTAGTAAGGGTCTGCGACACAGGACCTTATTGGCAGCAGTTTTGTAGACAAATATAGCAAGTTCTTTTTCTGATTTAAACCAAATTTATTTTTAGTTGATCCATAAAAAAAAAGCATTCGTGTTCATCATGGGATACTTCCATTGTGTGATTGTGATGTAGTCACTGTACAAGTCTGTTTAAATCAAGTTAAATACATATCCTCTAATGGTGATCATTCCTTTACAGAAAAAAAAAAAAAAATGGTCCCAAGTCCTTCTTCCATCTTTGTGAAGCACACAGTAAGCAGCATGCATTCTTCTGTGTGCCAGAACAGCTCCCTCCACCTGACAGCAATACATACAAGAAAGATCACTTCTGGAGTGACTTCCCCAGATGAGGGATATTTATTTATTCATTTACTTCTGTGAATGAAATATCTTCCTCTACTTTAAGGCTTTTTCATGAATGATTGCCCTAGCAAAGGGTAACGTCTGAAGACCTGTGTCTCATCTCACTCAGGGTGAATAGGAGACCAGTTCTCCCCTTTAGCTACCTTTCTACCAAATGAAATAAAAGATATAGGTCTCCTGAGAATAGTAAAAAATGCTGAAGGACTTAGAACAGTAAGTTTCAAATCTATTGTAACATGATATGACTTAGTGCACTGTCTGGCACAGTCTCCTAGTGGACACCACAGCTTTCCCACTAGGTTAGCTACAAAAAGATTCATTCAGGCACATTTGCTGTTCTTTGATAAACTTAAGTTTCTCTGTTTATTGGTTTTTCAAAATGTCAGTTACTTAGACTAATACAGGATAATGTTGTGAAAACACAACAAAAGCTACTATAATATACAATATTTTAGGCATTTTATAATTATGGTCAACAGTAATTTAAATTTTTCCCAATGACTTCATTGTTAAGGTTTTAGTACAAAAAAGATTTTTAAAAATACATACAAGTGCTAGAATTATAAATTTTAAAAATAGTGTTAGCAGTAGAGCTGACCCCATTGACAGGGCTATGTGTGAGACAGCCCCTCATCTGCCATGAAGTGGCATGGGCAAGGGAGAGATGCCTGCATCAACCCCACCTTCCCCTCACCACCTATGGCAGGTAGGAGAGCTGGTCCTGCGCCTCACAGGTTGCAGCACTCAGGAGAGCAGACCCTGCACCTCACCTGGACAGAATAGCAGAGGCATGGGTGAGCTGGCCCAGAGAGCTTGAAAGTGAGAGGGCTGATTCTGTCCCACCCTCACTGACATACGATGACTTGAGCAACAGAAAGATGCCCTCCTCTCCATTCATCGCCCCTTACGGCCTGCAGCAGGTAGGAGACCTGGCCTTAGGCCATGAGTGTGGGAGAGCTGGCCCTGCCCCTATCAGCTTCAGCACCCGGGACAGTGGGCATTGCATATTGAAAGACCCCTGCCCCTTAGCTCTTAAGTTTGCCTCCTCCTCCGGTCGGCAGCTGATGGGGCGCGCGCGGCGGATGC